TCCTCCAGGGCTACCTCTGGGATTGTTTTTAGCATCACTACTTTCAAGGTTTCCAGGACTTCGATTAATGTTAAGATTAAAGAGAGTGATTTGTTTATTTAATTATTAAGAATTTATTATTATGTCTTCATTATTATTACATTTCTGAATTATTAATCCTATGAACGATCCATGATTAATCTATTTATCTGAACTAATGATGAACAATCTATGATTCATCTATCTCAAGTTAAGTTTACAACGAAGGGTTTATATACCTTTCGTGGATGTACAAAATCTTCTATGTAAATTATATCTAGGACTAGTTTTCTAATTTAGAATTTCTTCATCAAGACTCTTTATGCCAAGCATTGCTTAACAATCTGAATTAAAAATTCCGAAGGTTGTGTGATTCCTATTCTGTATTTAACAAAATAAACATGATGTAATTCTAACTACCACACAACCTTTAATTGGTATCGAGAATCATATGATACTTGATTAATAAAAATAATTACTAAAAATACGTATGAATCATTTTCATGTGTAGTGGATCACAAAGTGGCAAGAATGTTATATCTATCGAATTAAAATTAGTGAATGATTCTTAATATTGTTCTACTTTACTAAAAATAATTAGGTAATTGAATAATCGGAAAAATAATTTTGTACGATATAAATAATTAAATTTCTAAATGGGAAACTCTTTTCAAAAATGTGAAGTGTAATTTTGGTTTTGATCGTGGTGTACAGATCACGTTATATTCGTGACTTCTAATATTACGTTTCTTGATAATGTAATATGATAATATTACACTAGTGTCTGAGTATCATTTATTTTGAAAATGTAAGTGGCAATTTTTTCACCTTGTTCTTTCTTCAAAATACTTCTGATATGTAAGGAAACCTCTTTTCCTTACGTTAATTCACAAGACCAAGTGTTTTGATTAAATACAAGTTACAAAGGTTATAAAACGGAAAGCTTATATTTATTCAATTTATAATAATAATAATAATAATAAAAATACAATAAATAAATAAATAAATATTATTAATATATCATAATAACCATGTTAGTCTCTTAAGACTTTCCAGAAAGCTCCAGCGCTTAATTTACAACTTGTATCCAAATAACGAAAATAATTAATAATAGATCGGTCGCGAGCATAATGGACACTCATTTTGTGCAACAGTCATTTGTATAATAGTCAGGCGGTTACACAGAGCCCGTTGCTTCTGAAACTTCACTAGAATATAGCTGTAGCCTCTCTAAGTCCAGATCATCAGCAAGATCAAAATTATCTCACACTTTTATAATCAAACTTTTGCAAGAACTTTCACCATAACATATGTTATGTTGATCATTTTTTTGTGATCTGCAACAGTGTCCACTATGCTTAATGTAATATGAAATATTTAATAAATGCAATTAATAATAAATAGATATATGGTTTTTGAATGATTTTATTGGTTTATCTTTGTTCTTAGTCACGTGGGGATGCGAATAACAAAAATGGGGGTACGAATAGCAATTCCCTAATAGTCGCGGGACATTGCAGATCAAGTGTCATTCAAATATAAACATTACACGAATAAAATTATTATCATCCACTTCAAAAAAAAAAATCTCCATTTTTCATGTAGCAAGCAATTTTCAACCATAATAAAATTTTTAGAGCCAGACTGGGACTTTTAACAACAGTTAAAAGAAAAGGCCAGCTTAAATATTGGTTATTCTACACCAGGTCAGAAGTGTTTCTTGGTCACAATGCCATCCTTAACCTAGAGGTGGGATCATTGCAGGTGACTTTTCAGCTAGCATGCCAGTGGCCATCTCTGGTCTGGGAAGATTAGTGAAAGTGTTATTGACAATTGATGCAGTCTCAGTTAACTCCAGGGCCTTGCCCCCTGGAATTCAACATCATTGTATCATTGGGAGTACCATGGTCAGATTAGCCTTTCTACACAAGGAATGTGAGAATTACTGTAATATGTTCAAGATAGCGTGCGTGCTTCAACATCTGTAAATTTCTGATAATCAAATGTTGCATATTCAAAATGTTTCTTCTGTAACAGTCAGTCATGCTGCCTTGACATCTTCTTGTGATTATAATATTTATAATAGTATTATTAATATTATTGATTACTAAAAGTAAAACATTATCAATATTATCAATGAAAATCTTGTAATTACCCAACAAGATCTGCTCCACATTTTGATTTCCAATTAAAATTTTATTTATAAATCCTGTGATATGTAATTTACAGTATCAGGCAATTTGTAGAAAGTTAGGAAACCTGTCTGTATAGAGAACAATGGAAAAGGACAAAACCATAGTAGTTTACCAATCATTTCAATTCACTTACCAAATCAGACCAATAATACTCTAAAGATTATGAAAAAATCTTTTATATGTATTTATAGCAAATTTAAAAAACTAAAAATTATTAATTAATTGAAATCATTTTCATCAATCAACTTTGACGAGGTTTCTTATTTGTGTTTGTACTACTACTACCATGAACATCATTAGAATTTTTATGCTTAATTTCTTGTCTTTTCTTATCAACTAGTAATAAACGATGTTGTTAAACTATCATTATTTTTTTAAAAATAAATCATTAAAGTATATACAATACAAACCTTTACAAATCTTTTCTTTGAGTTTATCCCAGTTTAATGTTGATTCATCACTTGCTTCTCCTGGACCTGCTGATTTCATACTAACAGCTTCCTCCTCTTCTTCATAATCACTGCTCTCTGTAAATTATTAAACAAAATAATAAAATGAATTCCAACATTATCTATAATGATGATAATGGAACTTACTTCATTATAATTCTCCTCATTCTCAGTTGGCTCAAATTCACTTACTGAATCTGATTGTGTTTCCGAATCATCATCCTTTTCATCCATATCTAAAAATGACCAACCACCATTTTTATAAAATCCTATTGCATCTTGATTAATATTTCTCATTATTTGTGTCCAACTTAAATCTGGTGTTCCTTCATAATATAAAATATTCATTGAATATAGCCATTCCTTTATGTCTTCTAATTGATTCATTGAAATTCTATTAATATGTTTTGGTGGTTGTGAATAATCTTTGAAAACCAATACCATGTCAAAATTATCTAAACTATATTGTGTTCTTTCTAAATTCACCACCTCTACACAAGCCATTGTTATAATTAAAGAAAGATAAATCAACTAAATGAACAAGACAATTAGTAGTTAGTTCAATAATACTTGGTTTTTAAATGGATTTCCAGAGAATTCAATATCTCTAAAGGTATCAATAGTAATGCCACTCTAAAAAAAAGGATAAAAATGAGAATGAATTTATATATTTCATTCAATTCTCATAAATAAATAATACTCACCCTTATTGAAATGTTTTTAGCAAAATCTCTAAACCACTTATTTATCAACCCTTTACAATTCTCCTCCTCTACCAATTCTTCTTCTTCTTCCTCCTCCCTCAGTTCTTCACATAACCTCTTTACTTCTTCATCCTCATCATCATCCATTTCATCAATTTTGATGTTTTTAACATCTGAAATTTCTTTTGCAAATTGAATATCGTAAAATAAAAATGATTTGTTTGTTATAAGCTTTACAAAAATAAATAAAAAACAAATAAAACTATTATTTTTAAGTAAAAAACATACAATTGATGATGATGTTTCCCCAAATTTGATTGGGTTAATTAAATGAAAGTGTAATCTTACAACCATTTCATTGTCACAAGGTTGAGCAAATATATGTTTGATATTATTGAAGATAATAGCTGAATGATAAATTTATCAGTATTAATAATTGGTATTGAATATATGAATTAATTAAACCATTACCAAGTTCTGGAAAAGCATTAGAAGTGTAATTAAGGCAATTATGGTGGATTTTTAGATTACCAATGACCTTCCTTCCTTCGAATTTTGGCCTTAGATATACTTCACCCAGACTGTAACTTGGTCTTCTCCCTATTAAAAAAAACACAAACATATATATACACTTCCTGGTCATAAATATAAGGACACTTGCAGATCATCAGAAATAATTGAATAAAGAAACATGAAAAAAA